TAAACGCGCTGTTTGGTCGACGAAAAATTTTCGAAATAAAATTTGTCAGCCTTTTTCCCTTTCTTCGTCTTTGCTTCCTTCCTTTACTCTGTACCCAAATGCAGAAATCTAGTTCGTCATATTTTATTTTCTCGCATGATGAGGTCCTTTTTTTTAAAGTTCCTGTTCAAATGAGATAAGCCAAACACCTTTCAGTTCATTGTTTAGCTCCTCACCTCTAGCATTCACTCTTCCTCTAATGTTAATGACCATGTGTTGAACCGATTACTGTTTCCAGCACCACAGTGCTAAAGATGGAGTCCAGGTCGAAGCTCCTCCTATATTCACTCTCTGTGAGAGGCGAACGCACTTGAAAATAGGGCGAGTGATGGCAGTGTGTACAGCAACCGTTCGGTGGTTCGCTCGTTCAAAGATTGCTTACAAACAAACAGATGATGGATCTGACTCTCACGAATGTGTCAGCCAATTTGCTGTCGAAACGAATAAAAAAGTCGTGGAGGATGAGTTTCCTGGCGACGCAATCGAATCTGTGACTACTGCACAACAACAGTGCTACTTTCAGCTGAGATCGACGACTAGGAAGTAGGGTAGTATTTGATTTTGCAAGTACCGTAATTCCAGTCGAGAAGACTGGAAAAAGGAGGTTGTTTTGTGGTCCGTGATCATTTTGCTCCTATCTTGTATTACTTTTTTGCACTGCTGTATTTTCTTTGGAACATTATGCACGCGAATTTTTTTTTTTTTTCATTTAAAAGATGTTATCGTATGCACCAATACGGTCTAGCTAACATACATAACCAGTGCATCCTTTTTTTTTTCTGAGCATCATTTGTTCACGAACTGTGGTTGACAACAGATTTCTCTTTATGCCTTTTAATAAAATGAGAAGCGGCTTTCAAAGTTCGATCTGATAGAAACATTCCCCTGTTTTTGCCATTCTGTGGCGCCTCAAGCCACAAGATAACCATTTTTCATGCGCGATTTGCTACTGCTCCAATGTTGCTTTGGTTTTTGTCGAAATAATGGATCTGAAGAATAAGTCTCCATATTTGATGATTATAGTTCAATCTGAAAGCTTGGAGTGAAGAATTTTCATCTACTGGAGTCTGCCTTCCAATGATGTGACCAGGATTTTCCAGAAAATTCGGAGGGATTTATTGAATTTTATGATACGACGCTTCCGTTTACTCATCAAACAAGGCGTATATATTCCATGGATTTCATTCACAGGGATCAAGGGCCAAATATAAGTTTCACTGCGTGCGTTTCGGGTTCCAATTATGATAGGTGCAGCTGAAGATCCAATAAAGTCAGGAATCCAACAAGAGGATTCGGAGAAGGTCGTAGCTAGAGATTAAATATCCAAAATATCAGTTTTCTAGCTCGTATAGCTGCGAAGATTGAATATTGGTGATATATATATACACACGCACACACTCACATACACACATAAGCACGATCTCGCAAACTGAAAATTGCATATTTGCCATTTTGGGTATAGCATCTGCCGGAAAAACCAATGTCGTTAACAACAAAAATCTGCGGGGAGCTATGCAAAAAACGCATCTTCGCACAGGCAGTCCCTGCGTTAGCCAATTATTACATTTGTCTAAGAGGCAAAAGTGCAAGTCAGCTATCGGTACTATTGATATTTTTGCTGGGTAAGTTTTTACTATCGTAAATTGCGCAGTACAAAGTTGTGTATACTGCCTCTGTAACGCAAGCGCATCATTAATGCAGAGGCAGTCTGAGTAACCGTCTCCCTTACCGTTAGTTCGGATTAATGATATGATGTTCTTTTACCTGCCTGGTTGTTAGCAGCACAAAAATTTTGCTGAAAATTAACACTAATGCACTTACCGTCGCAAAAATCATTGTGTTTAACGCAGCATGTGCAAAAAAGCGACTTAAAAGTATCCAGGTAGTCCTGAGACATGGTGCAGTAGAGAACAAAACTGATCGAACTGTACAGAAGGGTGAGCATTTCCATGAACGATCCCAAATGATCGTAGATCCGCACACCAAAATTTTCACCATATACACCGGTGCACAAATTTAATATTCCGTGCGGTAGCTCAACCTAAATGAGCTTGTCGTGTTATGCGGCTCGCAAGGAAATCCATTCGGACGGAATTAATAAAGTACCTTGATAAAATAGCTTTGGCAAATTTTGCCGGCAGAATGAGTTATTTGCTAGGGTCCATTCCGCTCTCGCCATTCTCTACGTGTTAACAAGACTGTATCTTATTTCTCAGAAATTTCGCATTTCGAATTCAACAAATGCGGCAGCCAATTTTATAAAATGAGATTTTCAAAAGTTTTAAATTAAAATAAGCAAAAAAAACGTTTTCAGCAGAAGCTAGCTCACTCACAGCGATACACAGGAACAATATGCAAATAAGCATGCGTGTTGTGCGCGACGTGGACATGTAAGTTTTACGCATACGGCAAGCAACACCACTGTTAGTACTACGTGGTGATTGCGTTTTGCTATCTTGCATCAATCTAGGCTGCTTGTTGCATGTCAAAAAGCGGTGCTTCCTTTCTACCGTGTGCAGCGACCTGAAACAAAGCTTTAATGCGATTCCACTCTGCTTTGCTAGGTGCAAAATTAAGCAAAATAGTTAAACATCTCATTGCTCAGCAGCCTACTAGCTAACAACATTTCTAAAATACGATGATATTCATCTTAGAATTGCTACGTTTTTTATGTCGAAACTATTAATATCGTTATTTAATATTTAAAGCTTTTCACATTCTTTTTCAGATGTTGCATATTGTAATCGAAACAGTAAGCTGTACAGGTTTTCGTTTCTTGCCGCATGACTCATTCGGCAAAAGGATTTATGCATAAAACAACAGCATGCAAGGCGAAATTAGGCGGAAATAAAAAAAAAAAAATTCAAAATCATCTGCATCGCAAACCACAAAGCGTCGGTCGCTGCTCCATTGCCAACTGATTAAGTAACGTACATTTGGAGAGGAGAGGGGAGCAGTGAAGAACGGAAAGGAAACTGATGCTTTTTATGAAGCTGATGCTTAGGTAAAGATTCCTTGAAAATTTTTCGCTTTGATTCCATTCAATTCCAAAATAATTTTTTTCAACGTACGATTTTTGACCAGTGGTTGAAAAGATTAAGGGAGACTAGTAAAGAACTTTTTGCAATTTTTGAAAAATTTGCGCCAGAGGGTGTTTTTTTTTTTTTTTCATTTTAACGCTTCAATCAGAAAATAAATTAGCTTTAAAGATGACGGACCGAAGTGTCAAAAAATCAAATATCACAGGCTTCTCGAAAACAATATGAAAGAGGCAATTGCTCATCTAAACTGGCCTCCACCGGCAGTTTTAGCAAAAGAATGCAAACACAAGATCTGGTTTTCTATTGCAGTATATACTCAAACTCAGACCACTGTAACATCACTGATTTCACACCGACGATTCAGGCAGTCTTTGATAAATTTCACTGAAGGGAGTACCTGATTAGGCCGACAACGAGCAGTGTGAGCAGGAATGATGGAATCAGTTTGACAGCGATACCAAACAGCCAGAAAACAAACTGCACAAGCGTGGCGTTCTGAGAGTAATTAAGATCATACATCGGCCTCAGCGAGCAATTCATATAGTCAATTTCCACCTCACCAACCTGAAATTCCCTTTAGAAACAGCGCCTACTGCTAACATGTATCATTTATCATTTATCAGTTTCTTGCCTGCTGCTGGATGGAAGAAGTGTTTCACTTTCCACCGCAATGGACATTGGAATTTGACCGATCGCAATTTGGCTTTCTCAGATGTCAGATTAGTACGCGCCTCCGTGTCATTTGTAAACCAATGCAGTTTTGTTTGTTTCTAATGTTTCAAAACGTGATTATTTGCAAAAATGAAAAAAAAATTGTATTAGATGTGCATAAGTCATCATCATATTCATTTATCAGACTGTTACTATTTCTGGATGAGAAAAGGCGAAAAACTGAAAGGTTGATAGATGAAAAATAGTTATCACAGTGATGCCTGCTTTGTTCAGTGATAGCCCCAAGAACCACTGCATGCAAGATCAGCAAATGTAAATTCGGGCGCGTTCTCTAATTTGAAATCAAAGAAAGAGAAACTCGATGTTCCGAGGTCTTTTTTGCGAACGATGCTGTCAGACGTTCCAAAGGATGCATCCCGTACTCAGTTCCTGCCGATGGAACAGTGTCGTTTACTGCTTTCGACCCAGTAAGTTAAACGTTAAAATTCCATCGCTGTTTGGTCATTACGACCCTTCCGCTTGCTAGTATATTAGCACACAGGATGGCCTAAGCGATGTGCTCTGAGTCTGACTCCGCCATTAAGGCAGTCCATCGCTCTACGAGTAGCGTATCCATCCCGATGGATTCCCAATGAATCAAACCCATCTTTCGCCTGCTTCTAATTATTTTCCGAAAAAGAGCCCCTGGTAGATTTGTCAACGCGTCGTTGCTGTTTCGGCATGTGCTGCCAAACTTGAGCCACTTTGTCTGTGCTTCGTCTCTCATAGTACATAAGTTAAACCGGAGCTTGTAACTTTGTGTATGAATTAAAGACTGTAGTCCGGGGAAAAGTGGAAAAAAAATTTCTGTTTTATACAGTTCGGAGCTAAATTACGAGTTGCATGGGCAAAGATAAACACCGTAACATGACAGTGCCGTACAATCTGCTCTTCATTTTCGATTGCGACACAGCGCAACAAATTACAGTATGACCTGTGAAGTGAAGTAAATTGGAATGCACAGCACAGGTATGATCAGCCACATAAAGACAGTAGCCAAAACAGCGAGCTCTGGCCTGAAAAGAAACTATGCGTTTAGTGAATAAAGACAGAAAGCATTGTCTAAAGACACTTTTCACATCAAAGCACCGATTTTTATATCAAAAACGGAGGAGTTCTACAACTGAAATGTGCTTTTTTCCAAAAGTCAGCTAGCTTGAGATCGCATCTATTATTTCCAATTCTCCTATCCTGCTTATTCCTGCGCAACTACTTTTACTGTAGTGATATTTTCGCGCCTTTTTTAATCTTATGTAAATGCAAAAGCGAGTATTCGAGAATTTGTCCGTGAGTGTATGTGTGTGTGTGTGTATGCTGCGGTTTTTGCCACCGACGACCAAATTAACAACTGCATACTCTAGGTAGCTGGAACTTCAGTGATATTCCTAAGCTACATGCCATCCAAACAGCTTAAAATTAACCTTCACGTATTCCTGAGTTTCATGTACGGGGCCTAAAAGAATTCATGCAAATTTTTTGGTTGGAGAGCGATTTCGAGAAACATACAGGATAGAAGGTTGAAGTTTCACAGGCATTCCTATCTTCTTGTGTGAGCTGAACTAAAGATTTTAAATTCAGCTTTTTTTTCCATGCCTATTTCACGTGTACAGACACTTCAAAGTTGAAATCTCACAGTAAAACGCCAGTTTGGGAACTAAGCAGATTAAAGCGCTCGTTCTTTGCGAGAGAATTTGTTGTTGCCCATACTCGAACGTGTAGGAACAAGCTTTGAGGCGTACCTGTGTGATACATTTGGACATTCGAAAGATATGTGTAACGAAAAACGATTTCACAAGTCAATTAAGCAGGGTGACCGAAATTTTACCAGGATTTTCGGCGCCCATGTGCAACCAATATATTTCATATTCAGTTTTGGAGCATGACTAGGTTTAACATGCATCGTCGAAGTGAATATTTAGATCTAGACACTGCTTCGTTGAGTTAACTTGGTAATCAGAGTGAGTAGGATACTGTTTGCTGTTTACATACGGGCTACCAAGCATAAGACTATTTTCTATCTAGACACGGACCTTGCTTACAAGCGCGTCAAATTTTGATACTGAAAATCTCGCAAACACATTGAACACCGGATGGGATCATGCGAAAACACTCGGTCGCACCGGTAGTTTTAGTGCGACTCAGACTTTTAAATATGTTATCATACATGAGCGCATGTCCAGTGCAGCATGTATTTGGTCCGTGTATTGGTTTGTCAGAAGAAAATTTCGTTCAAAAAATTGGATTTGATGCCGCTGTAGACGATATTTTTACTATCTACATTATTTATATACAGCTTTCTTTCCTGGAAGTTCAAATGCATGCAGTTTTGGAGACAAAGATGGCATGTTTCAATCACAACATGGCATGCTTCGGCATGGCTATTTATGTTTTTGTGCGTTCTATTCTGAAGCAGTTATTCAGAACGCTAGTTGTGAGACCCTTCCCGCGTACGTAAGCTTTTGTGTATGTATGAATGTATGCATTTATTTGTGTGTGTATGTGTGTACGTGGTTTGGTTAGTAAATATTTTGCCCGATTTTTTCAGCTCAGGAATCAGAAATGGTAGCAAACTAAAATTACAAAATGGCGTTATGTGCTCATTGTGAAAACGATTCAATTTCAGTTCTAATACCGTGCACGCCTAAGTCTTACGTACGATACTTGAAGATTTTGAAGGAAAAATTGCTGACTGGAGAACGAGGAAGCTAAAGTTTTAAGAGGATATCCTCGGTCTATATGCTTTCTAAAGATTTTAAATTCAGTTTTAACTATTTTTAGGTTTCATATACGGACACACGAGAAACATGATAACCCCGAAATCAGATAAGACAGAAAGCTGAAATTTTAGGAAGATGTTTTTTGGCCGTATGCCGTTTTAAAATTTTAGATTCAGCTGCAACATAAGTCGATCAAAATATTCTGACGATTTCTGTACATATCAAACAGTAAAACGGTGGACATTTTAAACCGCAAACGTCTGCTGGACAGTACTGCGCAAAACGCATGATAACACCAACTACTCCGGCACATACCGCCACTTTTTTTTTTTTTTCTTCAAATACTTTAATCAGTACGTGATGTTTCGAACTGATGTTTAAATTTTCAGCACAAGGCCCTTCATGGCTTTCCTTTTTTAAGGGTTGCTTGGAGACAGTTTGATGACGGTTTTGACTCTCTGGTAAGCATCAGTGCCAATCTGCCATAGGAACTAAATGAATCGAAGGCAGATTGGTTTCCTCAGTGTAAGTGTGAAATCCTTGACTTTGCTAGAGAGCAGTGCTGATTCCATTGCGCTTTGCCCATTAAGTTTACCAGATTCGTTAAAAAAATATGTGATGTGGACGTGGAATCAAATTGAGAATCATGTTTGCTTGGGCCAAGAATCAATATCCGCTATTGTTTTCCACTCAGATGTTTGTTCAGTCTACTTGAATAACTCTGCTTGAAAGCGATGACGGGGTGTTATTTTAAATAAACGACAAGGACTGGTGCACGTCAAGATTTGAAAACAAACTATTCATGATCGAAATAGTTATAAATTACCTGTACAAGTAATTACTGGCTTGGACTGGCCATTTTAATGCACCATAACGAAATACAGCTATCAACAGAGTATGAGCAAACGCTACTGCAAAATTGATGAAATTTTATTATTTAGAATCCGATAGATTCCATTGACTGTACGCGTAAGCTATCTCCCCCTTCCACTTAGCCGCCCCCGTCTCCTTGCCCTTTTTCTCTCTACCGTTGCTGTCATCACATTTCTTTCCTCCTAACCTTTCCAGAGTTGTCCTCAGTTGGCCAAAAACATAACACGTCGCTCCCGTCCAAGTGTGGACCAAGCAAACCCAACTAATAGTGTAGAATGAAAATTGTAGACCGATGAGAGATAGTACAAAAGCAGAACTGTAAACCGAAGGGCAGAAAAGACCGCGGGGCTAGGCCGAGAAGAGCAATTGTGGATAATTTTTTTTCAAAAAAAAAAAGTGTTGAATCTCTTTTCTTTGATCGAAAGTCGAAATTCAAATGTTTTCATGCGTCTTGATATTAATGCACTCAAAAAAGATGCAGTGGCAGAGCTACATGTATGATTGTATTGTTTGTGTGTGCGTTTGAATATTTGCTTTCGTATAAGCATATTATGTGTGTGATGTTTACATGTTTATGAGTGAAAAAATTTGGCATAATTATTTTGGCAGTTCTAAATATACACATCTAGTAAAAGACAAAATGATATCTCCAGTGTGAAATTTTGGCTGCGTCGCTAGGCAGTTGCGAATGTTGCGTTGAAAATGTTCCTATGTTTTGACCCCATTTCAGAGTAAGCGTGTATCCCGACTGGAGCTAACTCCTGCCAAATACACGACAATGCCTTCCTTTCCAATTTTTTGCGCCGTTTGTCTGAACATGGAGTTTTGTGTCTCTTTCACTTTTTCAAGCATACTTTTACATTTTTTGTCTGTTGTTAATATCGTGCTGCGTAAAGGACTGCCCCTTCAGTAAAAAAGCTTAGTGCCCCTCTGGCCCAGTACAATTTTCTTCTTTGACCACACGGACAATTTTGATGACTCTGGTAATCTTGGGGATTAGAGCTTTAGCTCTGAGTGAAACTTATGGAAAGAAGTGAATGTCAGAGGCTCACCTGTGTGAAAAATAACATTGCAATTAACATTGATCAATCTATACCATGCGAATGGATATGTCCATGGCAGTTTGCAGCTAAAATTGTTAATATGAGATGTTTGTTCTTGGTATGTTGCACTGCCGTTAGATGCAGCTTTGTTATAAGGTGAATGAGGCATTTGCAGTTTTCTCTAGTGCTATACACACGTTGCTGGCACAAAGCTTGCTTTTCCGCGTGGATAACATTACGCTGAAAGATCCAAGTACTGCTGCATTTCAAATTTAATTTTCGCACAATTACACTGGCAACGAAAGCGGCGGAGGTGCATTTTTGTATATGGACAATAAAGGTAGGTTCACATATCGAATTATGGAAGAGTAAACTATCTTGACAAGCACCTCCTATGTATGACTACGCAAAAAACGCATTACTTCGCATATAGAGTTGCTTTTTAATTATTACGATGCTAGTGGTCTTTACGAACGATATAATAGAAACAAACGGTAAAAACAGATGCAGCTGCCCTCAAGAAATTTACCATAAACGCTCCATTCTTACTACCTCCTAACTCTGATTCTCTTTCTCGCACAATTTTTCCCGATTTTCCTTCATTTCAAAATTTTTCAAATGGACATTTTTTGAAAAAAAGATATTGTTGGTTATTTTCACTTTTTTGCTACGTAAAAATATGCTAAAAAACTAAATGATTAGTAAAAAACTTAATTTATAAGCTTGAGGCACTGTTCACTTTCGTGGGAGTGGGACTGAATGCCATATGTAAAATAAATTCAACCGGTTCGCTCACCACTGCGTCCTGTAATGCTCAACGACAAGTAAGCCGAGATAATTGGTAGCAAGGAGCCACTGAGAAAATGATAATCCAGCAAGAAGTATATTCACCGGAGTGCGCATTGGCTTCCTGGAAGATCACCACTAGTGCAAGTTTGTTTAATCAGCATCGCCGTTCACTTCTTGCCCATTCAGTTCCTTAACTATCTTGAACAGCATTTTTACGCATGTAGGTGAAAGTGAGGCGATCAGCACTGAGCTGTTCTGAACATACTCATATAAAATTAGTGGCGGTAGAGTAGTTCAAAAGCTCTTTCTGGTTATTGGTAAGAGCATAAGAGAAATGGAGCTACATTTCTCTTGTGTTCCCTTAGACGACGGAATCACATCTTTAGGACGAAGTTCTAGCTGTCCTTTTCTGGAATTTAATCGAAAAATTGAAATCAACCTCAAGAATGAAAAAATAGAAAACGAAAATTTCAC